GAAGTAATAATTGTTTCAACCTATGTTTAAGATACCACGGGGATTCTGTAGCATAGAGATATCTATGGACTTGTGTAATCTTTATGGGTTTATCTTTGTTCTTAATGAATGTTGATAGGTTTATAATTTTCACAGAGATGTAGAAAATTCTCCTGTTAAGATATTTCTTTAATGCTTGAGAAAGATTAACGAATAAATTAAAGAGACTCGATTATCAACGATAAGGAACACTTACAATTAATTCAATTTAGATATTCGCATATGATTAGTTATGGTGAATCAAAAAATCTAGAATCTTATTTCTTAATTTTAACTTGCTTGTTCAATTCTTGTTAGTTTAACCTTTCTAGTTAAATAATTCATTTACATTCGAATTGTCAAATAGATCATCATTTAATAAATTTTGCTACTTATTTGTAATTTTTCATTTCTCTTGGGACGATACTCTTACTCATTCACTTTATTACTTGTTACGACTCGTGCACTTGCGATTTCAACTGATAGCCACATTAAAAATAAAAATATTATCTATTATAATATTATTTCGTTTTCATAATTTATGAAATAACAAATAATTTATTGAAATATCATTATTTTCAAACACTTGCAGTTATTCGGGAATCATATTTTCAATATTTGATAAATCAATCTTTTCTAATATTACTTTTTTTGAAATTTTTGATTGATTTTACTCTTGTAATTTTCTTTTTTCAGGTACATAATCTTTTAAACCAACTAGTCAACCACACTTTTGGCGTACTTTAGATTTATTAGCTACAATAGATTGTCCTACATGGACATCAATTTTTTTTAGAATATATGACTCTATATCTTTTCTTGTGTCAACAAATATATCAGGTAATTAATTTGCAACTCTTGCATATAAATGATTTTTTTCAACCTATTGTCTACATTGATTACTGCAAGAATTAAAGTGAATTAGAGTTATGTTATTTCAAGAAATTTTACCTTATTTTTAGGATATAGTTTTATCCTCCCAAAGTTGGCACCAAAATGACAATCTAAAAACCGTACAGTAAATAGATCGCCCGTTAAAGATTCAAAATACTTAATAATAGACGGTGAATCAAAACTAACATAAATCTCAATATTCATTGGAGACCCATTTTAGTAGGTTGTGAGGGTGAAATAGAGGCTTGGATAGTACAACAAAAAATCCATATGTGAGAAATATTAAGTTCATAACCAAATGCAAATTACAAAGATGAATATTAATAATAGGTAATTAGTCTTATACGAACCAATGATGTAGCATTTAACGTTTTCACAAGTAATGGTCTAGTAATAAATTATAGACGTTTAATAAGCACTTCCACTAAATCAATTTGTGTATAGACATGTACAACTAAATGTTGAATAATAATTTCAATTGATATATAGTAATTATCGAATGCTTGTGATCAAAATTTGTCAGCATTATCAAGATGAATTCTCATGATTGAGTAATCAGAAAATTGAGCTTGTAATTTTATAATATGAGCAAGTAGTTTAACAAAAGCTATAATATTAATGGAAAGTAAGTAGACATGGGACCACATAGTAGAAGAATTTATTAATATCATAAAATAACGAAATGGTCCACAGGATGAATGCATTGGTCAACATATATCTCTATGAACTCTTTCCAAGAAAGTTGGAAGTTGAATATTGACCTTTATAATCGAAGGTCTAATGATTAACTTGTCTTGTGAGCAAGCAACAAATGGATAATCATGTGACTTGTTAATTATTCAGTGCATCATTATATCCCTTGAGTGTCTAGGTTGATTGTGCTGAAGTATAACACTTTTCAGATCAACAAACTTCGGGTTCGTGATAATATTTGATTCAATAATTTTTATAAATGTATAATACATGCCAGATGAAAATACATGAAATTTTTCTTCTATCTGTTTTTGGCCAAAAGTAAAAGAAGTTATTAAAAAACATTAAATATTATTTTCTTGCATTGTCTTAAGGTGATATCCATTTCAATAGATATATTTAAAACTAAGCAATTTTTTTCTGAATTTGCTAGAAAAAAATGTATCGTCAATATATAATTTTGTATTATTTAATAAAATAATATAAACTCTTCCGGGACTTTCAGTGATATTCGATACACTTGGTATTATATTATCATTAGTTTTAGCTAATGTTAAGTCAAAAAATTTATTTTCTTTAAAAATATTGTACATAGTTGAACTATCAACCAAACAGGTGTTTTGACAATTCATTATGAATTTATAAACATGACTAAATAAATACTTTGAAAAACTGGTTTTATAATAAAAAAAAGTTAAGCAATATTTTAATCAATTAGAAATAATGTCTCAAACTTTAAGGAAATAAGAAAAACATACTTCGACTAACTTTTAAATCTAAATAAACTACTAAAATACTGAATAATAAACTAATAAATATTATCAAGCACGCCGACGGTCAAATGATCAACATTGTCATTTGGATCAACAACAAAAATAGAGACGTACAAGTGAGTCACACACCAATTTGATCATCATAGTTAATAAAATTTGTTTCCACTTTTATTGTTTTCTTGATTGATTTTTGGTAGAGATCTACAAGATATTTTGTCGTACGACAAGTTCGTTCTTAATGCCCTTTCATACCACATCTAAACCAACTTTCTTCATGTTCTTTTTTGGATATATTATTTTCATTTGCTTTGTACCTTTTCAAATTGTTGCTTTATTTCTGATAGTTTTGTTGATTATTTCATCAATGATTTCTCTCACGTCCGTGTTCACATCTACGTTCACGTCCTTATCTTGATATTGTATTTGCTTCAAACAATGGTATTGGACGTAACCCATATTTTTCATCAACTATTGATTATTTTGTTCTGCTACAAGTAAGCAAGATATGATTTTTGAGTAGTTTTTAAAATCACACTTACAATATTAGAATTACAGGAGAACTTTTGAGGCATGAAAAGTAAAAAAAGTTTTTTCCAACATATCTTCATTAGTTATTTTTTTCCTATCAAAGTTAATTTTGAACGTATCCTGTACATTTCATAATTGAACTTACTAATAGTTTTAAAATCTTGTACGTGAAGTTACATTCATTCATAAGGGATTTTGGGGAAGACTATAATTTTCTGATAATCATATCTTTCAATCAAAATTTTCTAAATAACATATTGATCTTTCACAGTTGGGTATTCAAATTTTCAATTCATTATGAAGATGATGATGATGGAAGATAAGTGCTTTTGCATGTTCTTGCATGGATTCTTGATATTATTTCTTTATTGTCTCTCTCAAACCCTTTAAGACAAAATGAACATCAATATCGAGGACCCATAACAAATAATTTTTGTTAGATATATCTAGTGCAACAAACTCAAGTTTTGAGATGTTTGCCATTTGAGTAACTTCTAACTAATTTACTTTTATTTTGAGATGATCATGGTAATAACGTGTTGTGAAAAGAGAAAATAATCAATAGATTTGTGTAAATTTTATTGAGAATCAAAATCCTATATTTATGGGAAGGAATTGGAGATATAATGATAATAATTACTAGAGTTGTAGAGGAATAATTGTCATTTAATAATAACTTACTATTTACAACATTTATTAAATTTTACCAAAATAAAACTTAATAAAATATAGGGATACAAGATAAAGAAATTGATTTTAATTTTTTGTTCACTAACTCTATTTGGGAAATAAGGGGGAATTTTCGTAATAACTATGTTATGTGTACATTCCGGTTGACACCTCTCACATTGGGAGGACATGACGGGATGGGGCCTTCAGCTAATGAAATAATTGCAACCCCACTAATGTGAGGAGTGTCATCCGACATAATAACTTTTAAATGTAAAATAGCATTATTGTTTTCATAATGGATTTTATTATATGTACATCAAACTTTAAATAATAGGTTATATAATGCAATATGTTACTTTATTATTTATAAGTTTAAAATACAATCAATTTTTCATCCAATGTTTTTCATTCATATTATTTTATATAATATTTTATGTGTCATTTTTTATGTGCAACTATCATAATTAGACAGTACTATACGTACATAATTATTTATCTAACTATTTATCTACTACTCACATTATTTGGATGAGACCTCGGTTCAGATTATTAAATTACACATAGGGGCCGCATGCTTGTGAGAGGAGTGTAAACGGTTTGGTACACTCACTCGATACAAACATCTTTATCTTTAATCCTTTCATAAATTGATGGACTTGAATTGTCTGTCAAAATATTGGTTCCCGGCTTACATGGCACAAAATGATTGGTAAAGGCTATGTGTTCTACTCCTTATAAAATAAATTTCTGAAAGTCGTCTCAATTCAAAGTCCTGGAGATAGAACCTAATTAATTTTTTTTTCCTTCAATTCTGTAAAATAAGGTACATAATTTTTTATCTCTTTCGTTTGAATTTCAGCTGCATATTCATTTCTCTGTTTTTATTCATCTATGTAAATCGTTCATTATTCGTAATTAAATGTAATTAAAACCGGAAAAAATCAGGATCGGGTGATTTTGAAACTGCTTTTTTAGTTTTTATTTATTTAAATATATGTGATTGTTTTCAGAAAGACTCGTCTAATCTGAATTATTAGATCTGATATTTGAGGTCTGAACGTTTTTAAACCCCCCCC